GTTTTGTGTTTTATGTTTGCATCGTCAGCCCAATTCCCTCCCTCCCTCTTTTCTTTTTTGGGGCTGGTAGAATTATGATGAGGCGCGCCGCAAGAGGAAAACGCAGTGACATCCTCGACACAAGGAATCCTATTCAAATCCCTGACGCAAGGAATTATGTTGAAGCCCTCTGCAAAACGAAATCGATTGAAATCCTCGACATAAGGTGTTCGAGTGAAATCCTCGACGAAAAGAATCGCACTGAAACCCCCTACAAGAGGAATCAAATCGAAATCCGCTTCAACCGGGGACGCATGGAAATCCATTGCAACAGGAATCCCAGCGAAACCTTGCACAAGAAGAATCGTGGTGAAACCCTCTACACAAGGAGCCCCATTGAAATCCGCAGCGAAATTAATTCGATTGAAATCCTCTCCGAAAGGAGCGCCGTGGAGATCCTCGATAAGAAGAAAACCTAATACAACCCTCTCTATATGGAAGGAATCATATTGAAACCTTGCGTAAAAGGAAACCTTTTGAAGTCTTTTACACAAGGATTCATTTTGAAATCCTCTACAAAAGGAACCCGATTAGAACCCTTTACAGAAGGGCTACCATTAAAACCCTTTACAGAAGGAATTCGAATGACATGTCCGCCGCCGCTACCCTTCTCTGGCCAAGGGGGTGGCGGTGGTGGATGTGGTCGTGGCTTCGGTCCTTCGGACCACCACCACCACTCACTTCCACGAGTGTTTTTTATTCATGCTGCAGCAGGTGCCACGGCGCCCCCACCACCACCATCGCTACTCCGCAACCAAGACTACACCGCCACCACCACCACCCGTTCTGGGCCAAGATGATGGTTGCAGTGGCGGTGGTGGCGGCGTTGGTGGAGGCGCCCTCAATGCCACCGCCACCGACACCTCCGCACTCTACGAGCTGATACCTGCACGACTGCCGAACGCCACCGCTCACTCCTACGATGGTTATTAGCAGTCATGCTACACCACCACTGCCGCTAGAACCGTCACACCACCACCAGCGGTACTCCACCGTCACCGCCGCCACCCGTTCTGGGTCAGGAATGGAGATGGTGGCGATGTTGTACATCCTTCGAACACTACAGACACCAACATCTGTCGACGCTTTTGGGGCGGATGCAGCCACCGCCAGCACAGTTGCCTACGCCGCCGCACATCCGACCCCGCCACCACCACCAGTGCCCCTTCTGAGCAAAGGGGGGGGCGGTGGTTGCGGTGGTGGATGCGACCCCTCCCACTGCCGCCAAAACCGTCACCGAGGGAAGCGGATGGCCAGCAGAAATAGAGAGAGAGAGAGAGAAAGAGAGAGAGATCAATGTATATATAGGGGGATGACGATAAAGCGGCGCGGTTGCGAAAGGTTATGTTGTTGGTGCTACCGCCGCAACTGCATCGACCGCTGTCGCCTTCCTGCCCAACCGCCACCGTCGCTACCCTTGCTTGGCCAAGGATGGCGGCCGCAGCGGTGGATGCGATGGTGGATGCGACGCCATCCTACCAACGCCAACACTTCAAGTCCACGAGTGTTTTTATTGACGGTGCAACTACCCGCCCCCGCCATCCCTTCCATCGCCGCAGCCACCTCGCCATCATCACTACCCCGCTGCCAACGCCACCGCTCGTTCTGGGTAAGGGCGGCGACGGCGGTGGTGAGGGTGATGGTTGTGGTGGCGGCGTCGCTCCCAGTGCCACCACCACCACGTTATACTAGTTCGCGTGCGGGTGGTTCCACCACCACCGCCACCGCCATCACCTACATCACATCACCGAACTTCTGTGCACGTGGGGGATGGCAGCGGTGGCTGTGGCAGCGGTCGGGGCGCTTCCTCTCCAACCGCCACCATCACCCCACCAGCGTCTGCGAATGCGTCCACTGCTGTTGTTTGTACCGCCACCACCGCCTCCGCCACGGCCAGTGCTCCCCCCTCCCCCCCTCCCTATCCCGCGGCCAACGCTGCCTTTGGCAGGCAATTGTCGCGGTGGCGCTGGAGGCGATCCCCAACTACCACTGCCGCCACATCCGCCAACCCCCGTCAATACTTCCACGGTTGCGTCTACCACCAATTTATTCCCCAATCAGTGCTTGCACTGAAGGGGTCCTAGCGGAAATTGAAAGATTTGGCGAAAGTTCCCCGCCGATTTTGGTAGCAGGCTGGGTTCCCGGATTCCCGGTTCCGGGTTCCCGGGTTCCCGATTATTGGTTCCAGGCCGATTTCGGTGGGTTTGGGTTCCGGGGTTCCCGGGGTCTCCTCGGCAAAAACCATCCATTGATTGGGGTTTGGCTCTGGTGTAATTATTTACTACTCCACCGGCTCCCCCGCACCCTTTCAAGGTCACTGGGGGCGGCGCAACTGACTGCGACGAGTGTGAGTGCGATCCCATCAGCATATTCTGGATAATCGCTTGCTGCTGCTATATCACCACCAGCCCATCCACCATCACTCCCACCGCCAACACCATTCCATCGCCACTGGATAAAGGGCGTGGCGATGATGGTGGGGCCTCCGCTCCTACCACCGCAACCGCCACATCCAACACGCCATATGGCTTCCATCAGGCCGTAATTATTTAAGCCAGAATCAAAGCCACGAAGCAAAATCCTGTGTCAAGTCCACAGAGCAAACCACATCGGTAGATACGATTATACTTATCGTCCACAAGGGGGGGAGGCTCGGGGATCTCGTGGGCCGTCTCGGAACGTCGGGTCGCCGAAAAGGCATGACAAGGCAACGAGGAAAATCAATGAATGGGGGAGAGATACAGAGAAAAGGAGAGAGAAAGAGAGAGAGAGAGAGAGAGATCATAAGGATAAGGAGGACGACGACGCCGAGGAGGGGCGGGGGGGGGGAAGGATGAGGAAGGGCATGGGGAGAAGGAAGGGGGAGAAGGAGGAGAAGGAAGGTAGAAGAAGGGGATGAAGGAAGGGGGAGAAGAAGGGGAAGGGGATGAAGGAAGGGCATGGGGAGAAGGAAGGGGGAGAAGAAGGAAGGGTGAGGAAGAGGAAGGTATACAACTGGTGATGCGGGGAGCACGGAAGAGGAGTGAGAGAAAGGGGGAGGATGGTTGGAGGGGGCGGAGGGGGAGAGGGCCGAAGAAGCGGATGAGGAGGAGGAAGAGGAAAGGATGAGGAGGAGCAGATGTAGCGGCAAGAGGAGGAAGAGGAGGATGGTGAATCGGACGAGGAGCAGCAGCGGGAAGAGCAGGATGGAGAGATGGATAAGGAAGCGGGTGGCGAGGAGGTGGGGGAGAGGAGGCCCCCCCTTCCCCGTCAGTAGCACGCGTGTGCGCAGGCTTGCGATTATGCATGTATGTGTGGACGTGTATGTAGAGCCGCATTATATACATATCCATTGATGCTAAAAAGGTCAGACGTTTTGTTGGCCATCTGAAGTATAATTGTAATAAGGCCTGTGCGGCCGAGGGGACTCTCAGAACACCCCCGCATCCAAACGAGAGGGGTTTCTTTATTAGCGCTGCCCCCCTGGAGCCTCTAAAATCGCCTCTTGGGGAGCTCTTGCGGCGCTCTTGGAGCGCTCTCGGGCGCTCTTGGGGCCGTCTTGGGGCCCTCTTGGGCCCCTCTTGGGGCCCTCTTGGGCCATCTTGGAGCCATCTTGAGGTCTCGGATGGCCATCGGAAGCGAAAAGGCGAGAAGGCACAAATGATTGGCTTTCCTTGGGTCTTGGAAGGATTTTCGCCTCGTGGCGGCCTCCTTGGATGTCTCGGAGGCCTCTTGTAGCAGTCTTGGAACCTTCGTGGATCCTCTTGGAGCATCTTGGAAGCCATCTTGAGGCATCTCGGACTATCTTGAGCCATCCTGGAGTTCATCTTGGGCTCTCAGAGGCCTTCTTGGAGCCGTCTTGGGCCATCTTGGACGCTCTGACCGCTCGCGACCACCCCCGTCCAGGTCCAGGGGAGGGGGTAGGGGGAGGGGTCAAGTTACCCCCTCCCCGCCCGCAAGCCGTCTCGCTCACTCCCACCCGCCCTCCCAACACATACGTAGCACCCGAGTCGGGTCCGAGCCTCAGCATATTCAGCAGTCGTCTTTGGATGGGCAGCTACTGGGGGCCAATCCGCCGCCGCCGCCGCCGCCTCCGCCGCCGCCACCGCCGCCGCCGCCGCCGCCGCTGCCCGCCGCCGCCGCCGCCGCAGCCTGCCGCCGCCGCCGCCGCCGCCGCCGCCGCCGCTGCCTAACCGCCGCCGCCCCCCGCTGCCTAACCGCCGCTGCCGCCACCGCATCCGCCGCCGCCGCCGCAGCCGCCGCCGCCGCCGCCCCCGCCCCCGCCCCCGCCGCCGCCGCCGCAGCCGCCGCAGCCGCGGCCGCCGCCGCCGCCGCAGCCGCCGCAGCCGCCGCCGCCGCCAAGTGTACTCTGTATTGTTTTTTGACAGGGATGGTGGGGGGGGGCCGCATCGGGTTGGCTGCGCATGTTCCGAATTTGGAGGCAAAGTGTGTTTTGTATTTATCTTTTAACCAGGGACGGTGGGGGGGGGTCGGCATGGACTCGGGTTGGCCCCCAGTCGCCTGGGGGAGGGGGTGTTTATTAATAGGGAACAGTGATAAACCCTTCCCCGAAGGGGAAGAAGTGGGTTGGAAGAGGAAACACTCTAGACCACCTTACGCCCCAAAGGGCTGGTGGGACTTGCCTTGTGACGATGTTCTCGAGGCGCCCGGTGCTCCATGTCGAGCCGACTCTAGCGGAGGGACATACGTGCTCGATTGCGCCCGCAAGCTCAAGAGGTGCGACCTCGTTCTGACGAGGGCAACTGCTTGCGAGGAGGAGGAGGAGGATGAGGAAGAGGAGGAGGAGGATGAGACAAGGAGGAGAGAAGATGGGGAAGAATCAGCGAAGAGGACGGATGGAGTCAGGAGGAGGAGGAGTCAGGTCCAGGAGGAGGTCCAGGAGAGATGGGAGGACGGGGAGGCCGTGCCCCTCTCCAAGCCGGGGCGCGCCCAGACTGCCACGGGGCCGCACTCGCCCCCAGGAGGGCGGCGGCCTGCACATGCCCGACACCGCGTGCTCCCTGGAGGACTCCTGCTCCCGTTCCGTCTCCCGACCCTTCTGCACCTGCGACATCAGCATGATGAGGATGATGATGATCATCATCATTGATCATCATCATCATCATCATCATCATCATCATCATCATCATCAGCATCAGCATCAGCATCAGCATCAGCATCATCATCATCATCAGCATCATCATCACCATCACCATCACCATCACCATCACCATCACTATCACCATCGCCACCACCACCACCATCATCATCATTCTCGCTATCACTGCTCATCACCGTTATCATTATCAGCATAGTAATCAGCATCGTAATCGTCATCGTCATCGTTACCGTCATTATCGTCATACTTATCAGAATCATCATCAGCATCAGCATCATCATCCTCATCATCATCATCGTCATCGGTATCGTTTCCCTTATCATCATTAGCATTCTGTCATCGTATCGTCATCGTCATCATCGTGATCAGCATCATCAGCATCGGCATCAGCATCAGCATCATGACCATCATCATCATCATCATCATCATCGTCATCGTCATCGTCAACATCGTCATCATCATCGTCAGCACTCTCATCAACATCGTCATCGTCATTGTCATCATCGTTACCATCAGCATCATCAGCATCAGCATCATTCTCATAATCCTCATTATCGTCATCATCGGCATCGTCATGGTCATCGTCATCGTCATCCTCGTCATCATCATCATCATCGCCATCATCAGCATCAGCATCAGCATCAGCATCGCCATCGTCATCATGTTCATCGCTATTGTCATCGTCATCGTCATCGTCATCGTCATCATCGTCATCATCGTCATCGTCGTCATCAGCATCGTCATCGTCATTGTCATCGTCATCGTCATTGTAATCTGCATCATCACCAGCATTATCATCAGCATCAGCATCATCATCACTGGTGCCGCCATCGACATCGTCATCATCAGCATCATCACCGTAAGCAGCATCATCATCATAATCGGCATCATCGTAATCGTCGACGTCATCATCAGCATCAGCATCAGTATCAGCATCCTCATCGTCATCATTATCAGAACAATCGTCATTAGCATCAGAATTGTCATCGTCATCGTCATCCTCGTCATCATCATAATCATCATCATAAGCACCGTCATTATCGTCATTATCATCGTCATCGTCATCGCCATCCTCGTGATCATCGTCATCATTGTCATCGTCATCGTATCGTCATCTTCGTTATCATCATCATCATCATCATCGTCCTCATCATCGTCATCGTCATCGTCATTATCATCGTCATCACCATTATCACCAGCACAATCATCAGCATCATCAGCATCATCAGCATCAGCCTCCCTCCCTACCTCCCTCCCTTCCTCCCTTCCCCCTTTCTCCCATCGTCGCTCCCTCCCTTCGTCCTCCCGATGCGACCCTTGCTTTCCCCGCAAACAGGAGGGGCTTCCATCCTGTCCCCGCCCCTCTCCTTCGCATCCTCTCATCTTCTTCCTTCTTCTTCCTCATGTTTCCGTCGTCGTTCGTCAATCCTGCGCTCCGCTCTCCCGCGTCATCGTGGTCATCTCTCCGATCCGCTTTTTCCTCACCCATCACCATCACCATCCACCCATCCATCCGTCATCATCATCCTCATCAACAACAAAATCAGTATCATCATTACCATCGTCACCACCACCATCATCCTTAGCATTATCAGCAGCATTAGCCTCAGCATCATCATCATCATCACCATCACCACCATCATCATCATCATCATCATCATCATCATCAGCATCATCATCATCAGCACCATCAGCATCATCCTCACCCTGCTCCTCCACGGCCCTAGTGCCTGCCTTGCACCTTTTCGTTCGAAGATCGCATAGACTGCAGTGCAAGGCATGGGGGAAGCGAGCAGAGGAGGATAAGGAGGATAAGGAGGAGGAGGAGGAGGAGGAGAACACGGACGCTGTTAGCACTTTTTCATGCCAACGCAGTGCATCATAATGTGTTGCATCGCTCTCGGTTTTCGCCGCTTGCTCGCCTTCCCTTCACGGCCTGCTTAGGAAACATATGAGTATGTATGATCCGATTCGCCCGTCTTCGACAAGCAAGTGTGGGGGACTGCGGAAGGGACCCCAGGACGACTCCGGCTCGGACGGGGAGACCGCCCAGTTCTTCGCCAAACGGCGGCAGGCGACGTACGGGAGGGGGGGGGGGGCAGAGATAGGTGGATGGAAGCGGGGGGAGGTGGAGGCAACGAGGGAGGAGGGAGCAGTCCGCCCGTGCGACGCCCGGCTGGGAGCCGGCGCAAGCCCTCCGTGCTCATCACCGCCCACCTGGCAGCAACCGCCACCGTGCCAGGGCACCGACCAGCGGTCGCTCCCCTGGGCAGGCCGTGTGCCGGCCAGGGCCTCCGGCCCCCTCCTCCTCCTCCTCCTCCTCCTCCTCCTCCTCCTCCTCCTCCTCCTCCTCCCCCTCCTCCTCCTCCTGCTCCTCCTCCTCCTCCTGCTCCTCCTCCTGCTCCTCCTCCTCCTGCTCGTGAGAGTTTGAGCATGCGTAAAACGTAGGGTTTCAGGGAGTAAGTGCCTGGTGAGGGGGAAGGGTCTCTCCTGCTCTCCGTCCCTTTCCCCCTCCGCGGCCCTTTTGGGGCTCAAGTTTCCTTCTCGGGCCCTTGAGGGGGGCGACTCGCGCGGGGAGCGCGACCCGCCCCGCGGACCGAGGTCCGCACAGGGGCCGAGGGCCATGTGGAGGTGAGGCGGGAGGAGGTGCGCCACGCCAGCCCAGCGCACACGAGGCGCTGTCAGTCGGAAGAAGCACACCAGCTCCCACATGATGGCGTTGCTGCCCATGCTCATCGGGGCCGTGGCAGCTGTCGAGATCGGCCGCAGGTGGCGGGCGCAGCCGGCGACGCCGGCATTGCCCCCCGCGGCCCGCACCGCGGACATGTCGCTGCCCGCGGAGGCCGAGCTGGCCAATGGAGGGGCGTACGCGCCTCTGCTGCGGGCGCTGGAGGAGGACCAGCGGCGCCGTGGCATGGCGGCGGCGACGGAGTTGCCGCAGCGCCAGCCCCCCCCCCCAGCTGGGCCCGCCCCCGCTGCCGGGAAGGGGAGAGGAGGGCCCTCGGGGCCAGCGGCAGTCCTGCCCTCGGGAGGCAAGGGGCGCCAGCAGCCGCCGACGGCGTCTGCATCAGGCCAGCCACACCTGGAGACACCGCCATCAGCCTCCGGCGACGGAGGTGAGGAGGGCTCACGGCGCCGCAGCGGCGGGGTGTGGAGCTGGTTCGGGAGTCGTCGGCGGGACCCCCCGCTGCGGCGAAGTCCTGAGAGCGCGGGCGGCTCGGAGGAGGCGGAGGAGGAGATGCGAGGCTGGTTCAGCTTCGGAGGGGTCAAGTTCGGAGTGAGCTGGCTCGGAGGTTGGATTACTGACCTGCCGCCGACGGAGATACAGTGGTCTGATCTGATGTGGGGCGGAGGTGGCCTCGTTGGAAGCGGCCTCAACACGGTGGGGTACGCGGCGTTCGGCACGGGTTGGCCCTTGCTGTGCTGGACCACCTTCGCAGGGTTGATCGTGGCGTTGGTCATCGGCTTGGGGTATGGTCTTCACTCCATCGCCTCGGCAGTTGACGTGTTGGTCTGCGCACCCCTCCGCTGCCTCGGTCGGGCGTTGGGATTTTGCTGCCCAACCGCGAAGCCGCAGGTCACGGCCGCCGAGGAAGGAGTGGTCCCAGAGCTGAGAGGACCAGCCACCGCCATTGCCGTGGAGAACGAGTTCTACGCCCAGCTTCGCGCAAAAGGGGCCGACAAGGTGCCGCATCACCTGATCATCAAGGTGGGCGACACCGCCGCGAGGCTGGAGAGACCACCTTTGAATACTGGGATTAAGTATAAGAAGGCAGGAGTGGCGTGGCCGTACCGCGAGGTGCTTGCTACCACGTCGAGGCGACTGCGCGACCTGCTGGAGGACTCCCAGGACAAGGTGGTGCACCTGTGTAGGGACACGCCCTGCACGGACGAAGGTAACTACGCCGTGCATGCCCCGGCGTACGGGTACGTGACAGCTGAGACGGACACCAACCTGGAGGCGCTGGTGGAGGCGGCGCCGAAGCCTTGTTGGGCAGGTCGGGCGGTGGGGGCAGCGGCTGCATCGTGTGGGCGGGGCTGTGCCGCCTTGGGGCTAAAGGGTTGTGCCAGGCTATGCGGGTCCCTCAAGCGTTGCGGCCAGAGGGGTTGCCAGCGCGGCCGGCGAAGCAGAGCAGACATCCCCGCCGCCCCGTTGAAAGACCCGAACTCGGAGACGGAGTCGGAGCCGGAGCACCAGCGCTGCATGGCCAACGAGGTGCTGTACCAGGAGGGTGACACGATCTTCCAGCTTTGCAAGGAGAAGTGTCGAGACCGAGCCCGAGGTGCCCCAGTCCGCCTGGTCAAGGAGGATGGCGAGAAGTCGAATGTCAAGGGGGCGGAGAAGGTGGTCAACTTGTGCTGGCAGCACACGAACGCCTACGAGCGCGAGAGAGGCGTGAAGAAGTGTGCGCACCTGGGCTGCCACGCGTTGGGTCGGGTTCTGAACCGTGGGGTGCTGACGTGTTTGGAGCACGACTTGGCGAATGAGGAGGCCGTACGACTTGTCGCCGTTGCTGAGGGACCGGCGCCTGTGGTGGCCGGAATGGCATCCGAGCAGCCCACGCGGTACAGGCCGAGGTCCCCTACGCCGACGGCTGGGAGACCACTCCTACCCCTGGTGTCGGCCAGTGGGGCATGGCTAACGGCCCTGGTGCGAGGCCCACGGGGTACGGAGATGGCGAAGAAGTACTATTGCTACGGGTGCCAGCTGGCGGTTGAGGAGGAGGGCTGGACTACGTATCGTATCCCAGGGCTCGAAGCCCAGGCGACAGTCCCATCCAACCTGGGGCCGGTGATCGACGACCGGGTGCGTGCCGAGGCTGCCACAGCTGGAGCGCCCGCCATCATCGTGCGGACGGCGAACCAGATACCCGACGGAATGGATGAGTACGGCCAGACAGCTAGCCCGGTGGCTCAGGCGCTGGCGCGGGGCGCGACGGGGAGGGAGGACCATCCCCTGTGCATTCTGACGCGGGGGGTCGAGGAGGCAGGAGTGCGAGATGAAGGACACGCTCGGAGGTGCCCGCCCTCGACTTCCCCGACATACCCAACGCAGCCACCGTGGGTGGACACGATCACTCGAGGAGAGCTGGGGGGCCTACTGAATGGGGCGGCCCGGGAGCGCTGGCGTCGACGAGGGGAGACGGCCCTGGCGCTGGAGTTTCTGAAGGCAAGGGCCAGTGGAGAGGATCACCCGCTGGACGTGGCCGAGAGATTACAGCACTCCGAGGGTTTCGATGACCTGGGAGAGGCGTGCGACGCGATCGTCGAGTCGCTCGAAGCCTTGGAGAGGGACCGCGGCCCCTTCATGACGGACGACGAGGTAGAGAGCCTGCGGCAGCTAGCGGAGGTGCTGAGAGAGAGGCGCGGCCTGAGCCAGGCACATGAGGAGGAGGTGGCGGGAGGGGCATGGCGGGAGGGGCTGGCGCGGCCGGTCCCTGGCCCTGCGCGGCCGCCCACGCCCCCCATGGCCCGCCCTTCGGCGGTGGAGATGCCACCTGGATTGGGAAGGATGCCCGAGCCAGGGCGGCCAGCCAGGGAGGAGAAGGGGTCAGCTCGAGGTTGGGAGCCCAAGCGGCGGGCAACCGACTTGGGCGGTCAAGGAGTCGACTTGCGGGGCAGCACAGTGCGGGCCGAGCTGGGCCGAGGCCCACCGACGGGTCGACCAGGTCATGACCCCACACCACCTCCCATGGACTTGTTCGAACATCGGGCTGGCCCGACCTTCGGGGTCCCGGCGAGGAGAGCTCGAGTGAGTTTCGATGAGGAAGAGTATGGCCCGTCGGAGAAGTTACGGAGGTCAGCTGGAGCACTCGGCGACCCCGAGGACAAGGGCAGCGACGGAATGGTTAAGGTCATGGCGGACATCGCGTACAACCTCGACCTAACGAACAAGCGGGCGGAGGACGCAGCGGCGGGGAAGATGGGCACCCTCCAGTCGATCACGAAGGACCACGAGCTGCTTGTCCTGGCGGCGCGTGGATGCGGACGGTTCCGGGTGGCCATTTGCCCGGACGACTTGGGCCGAGCGCTCGTCAAGGCACTCCTGCGCATGGCGGAGCATTCCTCGGCGTTGTTCAAGCACCACCGCTGGCCTACCCTGATCAACTACCGGATCGCCTTTGGCATCGCGTCGGGGTCATGGGGAGGTAAGTCGGTCGAGACGCTGGCCGCTCACGCGCTCAGTGTGGCCGACTGGGTGACTTGCCCAGAGGAGTTGTTCGATGACTACGTACCCACGACAGAGTACAAGATCGAGCCGCGACCGAAGCAGCCTGTGGATATGTTGAAGTGGGCACGGCAAGCTCGCAACGGCATCTGGGCGGTATGTTTGGCGTATGGAGCTGAGCACTGGGGCGAGAGGAGCGAGGCTTTGGACTACCTCATCCGGCAGCACGAGGCGAAGCCGCGGAAGTATACCGCCCGTTTCATTCAGGATGCCTGGGAAGAGCTGAACGGGCGGTGGTGGGAGGAGCTTCGGTGGAAGGTGAAGGAGGTGCAGCGCTACTGCAACAAGGAGCTCATGAGGAAGGAGGACTTTATCTTCGCTGCTCGGACGCCGACGCCAGAGGGGCCACCGCTGCTGACACTGCCTACGACTTTCGAGGTGGAGGACCCGGACGGGTACTTCCAGACGGTTATCTTCGAGCGCCTGGTCAAGACCGCGGACAACGCCTACTGGGAGAACGCTCACCGTGCCCAGCTGCGTCCACTCGCAGCCGGAGGAGTGGAGGAGGTCGAGGAGCGCCGCCCAGCAGGAGGTCTGCCCCAGCTCCCTTCAGGGGGCGGGGGCGGAGGGAAGGTTGGCGGTCTGACAGGAGGCGGAGGAGGAGGAGCAGGAGGAGGTGCCCTGAAGGCTGGAGCGAGCAAGGTCAAACTCCCGCCAGAAGTCCTCTCGGCTCTGACGGGGCCCGAGGTTGCGGAATCGGTCAAACACGGGCCGAACGACTCCAAGGGAAAGCCTAAATGTTGGGATGCAGCTTGCCACGATGGGTGCTCTAAGACGGCCACCACGTGTCAGCGGTCCCACGCCGAAGGCATCAAGAGTGCTGACAGGGCGCACTGGACTGTGAA